AAAAAGCCAAGTGCTTACTCCTATCTCTGAAGTCCGCAATTTTGCTTTTGAAAATACAGAAAATAGATTTGTTGGGCAGGAGGTGGCATTTTTCCGGTTGCCTTTCTGTTCTTACAAGTTTTGCTTTTGCTCTATAAACCCCTTGCTCCTCCTGAGGCTGAGCCATGTCATTGCCCGGGGTGCAGCTGGGACAACACAGTGAGCTGCCACCCAAGCCTCAATGCCACCACCAGGCAGGGGTGCTCCTTCCTTGGTGGGGTTACCCCCTGATCTGGCAGCGCTTTGCAGCCCCTCTGCCCTCGTGCAAAGACTCTGTCCCACTCCTGATGGTGAACAGCATCTTCTCTACTTATCTGGTGTGACTGCAGCTGGACCTTCAAAGAAGCCACCTGCCCTGCACCATGCAAGGGTCTGTGTCTGGGGGAACAGGCACTGCAGGAGGCAAGGCCTCCCTTCACCCCCAGCCTGGTTAAGCAGGACACCATGCACAGGCTGGGGAGGCTGTAAAGAGAAAGAAGGCAACGAGAGGAAGAGAGGCTGCAAAGCAGCATGGAGAGGCACCAGCAGCTACAATGAAGGTCAGTTCTCAAGGGGAGCAGGGAGGAGGAGCTGCAGTGGCCCCCCAGTGTTTAAGGAGGGGGTGATGCCAGAGCCCCTCTCTGGCACCTGGCATGACTGTGGGCTACGTGCACCACTTACTACACCCACCACTTACTACGTGCACCAGGCACGGCAGCAGGGTGTGGGGTGTTTCAGTGTAAGGTTTCCGCAGGTTCTCCGGGTGCTGCGAGCGCTTCTGCACGTGCCGCTTTCCCAGGCACTTGTGTGGGAGCGTAAAGGCTGGCGGCTGGTTGGGACTTGAACGCTGGTTGTTGGTTTTCCTACAGGGCAGACATGGCTGCTCAGGAACAGGTTTGTTACGACTTGCAGGACCTAAAAACTCTCCGAGTCCAAGCCAAGAGGCCCGACACTGGCATTAAAGGCCATAGCTGGGTGCAGAAATAAACAGCTCTATTCTGAGGGTGCGTCGTAGCATAACCAGCTATGTCAGCGTACAGAAACATGGTTGCACGCAAGCGTCAAAACGTCTGTGTCATTGCGATATTTCATGGCCTTGATTTTTTAATGTTTGGGTCCCTGAGGGAATAATCTGCTGGAGGAATCTCAAAGCGCCTGGCAGTACCTTCAGCCAATTGGGGGTGCTGGTGGATAAAAAGCTGGACATGAGCCGGCAATGTGCCCTGGCAGCCCAGAAGGCCAACCGTACTCTGGGCTGCATCAGGAGGAGCGTGGCCAGCAGGTCGAGGGAGGTAATTCTGCCCCTCTACTCAGCTCTGGTGAGACCTCACCTAGAGTACTGCGTCCAGCTCTGGAGCCCTCAGCACAAGAAGGACATGGAAGTGTTGGAGCGGGTCCAGAAGAGGGCTACTAAAATGATCCGAGGGCTGGAGCACCTCTCCTATGAGGACAGGCTGAGAGAGTTGGGCTTGTTCAGTCTAGAGAAAAGAAGGCTGCGGGGAGACCTGATTGCGGCCTTTCAGTACCTAAAGGGGGCCTATAGGAAAGAGGGGGAAAACCTTTTTAGTAGGGCCAGCTGCGTTAGGACAAGGGGTAATGGTTTTAAACTAAATCGGGGTAGGTTTAGGCTAGATATAAGGAAAAAATTCTTTACAATGAGGGTGGTAAACCACTGGAACAGGTTGCCCAGAGAGGTAGTGGAGGCCCCATCCCTGGAAACATTCAAGGCCAGGTTGGATGGGGCTCTGAGCAACCTGATCTAGTTGGCGGTGTCCCTGCTGACTGCAGGGGGGTTGGACTCGATGACCTCTAGTGGTCCCTTCCAACCCAAAACATTCTATGATTCTATGATTCTATGATTCAGCCAAACTGCTCGCCTCTTTGCACTGGAGCAGGCCTGGAGGGGAACAGCATTTGCTGCAGAGCATTCAGAGTCCCAGCAAGTGCCAACTCATGCCCCCCCCCCAGATCCTGCATGCCCCAGCACGCAGCAGTGCCTTTCCACAACCGCCCAGCAAAGGGGGTGCCAGCTCCCACGGCCAGCTGGGAGACTGTGCTCTCCTCTTCCCTGCGCCAAGGTCGAGCATCCCAGAGTAGGGCTCCAGCTGCTCCTGCCCTCCTGCGTGGGGTGGCAGGGGATCCCCAGGCCCCTTCCCTAGCATCTTCTCTTTGCTGCGCAATGGGACTGGGCACAGGCTTTTTGCTGCTCCCCAGTCCCCGTAAGGTGACCCACAGGGAGGGTGGAGGCAGCACAGGGTCCTGGATAGCAGGAGCAGGTGGGAGAAAGGCACATCCAGGGGATGCCTCTACCCACCTGAAACCCAAATTGTCCTCAGGGCTGCTGCTTCTCACCAACATTGACCATGCAGAGTCAAGGGGCCTGAAGGAGGTGCCTCAGGTTGACAGGACAGGCAGCAGGCCCAAGGAGTTTACAAAGGACTTGGGAAGCCAGGACGCATATCGAGTGTGGAAAAAGAGAGTGGAAGGGTCAGTGTGGAGGAAGCGCAGAGTGAGCAGCTCTGATCTGTCACACCTGCCGGACACAGCCCAGCACACACCGATTCCTCCATGCATATATCCACAGCATCTCTCCCAGAATGCTCTTTATCACATCCACACCTTCAAAGTAAATACCACAGAAGTAAACCACACCGGTCTTCCAGAAAAGAGGACCCACTGTCCCAGACATAACGCTAATCGGGGAACGCTGAATGAGGAGGACGTGATTGATGCTCCTCCTACTCCAACTAGTTGCTCTGCTCAGAGAAGAAAACAGGATCTCCAGCAAAACATCCCCTTCCCAGCTCACCCACCTCTCGCGCCTGCGCAGGGTGACCCCATCATCACAAAGCTGCACCTCAGCCAGCACCTTGGTCTGGTTATGTAGTCAACCTAGTTTTTCTAGCAGTGGGTGCAGCCAAAAGGGAAAGCCCGTGGTGACTGGCGGGGCTCCTGCTGCCCCAGCCCCAATGTGGGGCCATGCTGACACCCAGTGGAAACCATGGCAAGACGCCCAACAGAGGGAAAGACCGCAGCTGAAATCTTTTCCATCTGCTATGCTACCAACTAGAATGGAAAATAAAACCTGGTTAGCAGGAAAACATCGGAGCCCTGCCCTCAGCAAGAGAACAGAATTGAGTAGTATAATGCAGTAGGGATTACAGATGCTTTCTGGCCATTTCTCTCTTTGTGACACTTAGACCACACCTGATGAAAGGAGAGACCATGTCGGAGCTTACCGGGGGGCAGGTGGACTCAGAGACGCTTGTGCACTTTGCAATACTGAACACAGTACCTGCGATGCAACCTTCCCAGGGAATACGGCGACAGCGATTTCCCGCAGCCCCCCCGCTGGCTCTGGGGGTACCACAGAGGGCTGTGAGCCCTCCCTCCGCACAGCCCCAGCCAAGGCCTGGACAGTTTTCAGCAGTGAGGCTGTGGCTGCCAGCTGCGTTGCCTGCCCTAGATGCCATTGCAGGGGACCGGCAGCCAGGGGAAGGTTTCTACTGCTGCCTCCACAGCTACTGCGAAGCAAGTTGTTAGTAGCAGTGGCAACAGTGATGGCTAGCTGGTTCCTGGCAGGTGAGGAGGGCTTGATTTTTAAATAGTTATCAGGCAAGATTTCCAATTGCAGCACGAGTATTTTATACACTCTAGAAAAAGTTTGTCTTTGGTAAAAGAAAACAAGATCCTCCCCAGACAAAACCAACTGCTTTGCATATTCAGGGATCACACTATTACCATGCACACAGAAAACTGAAACATCTGGCAGCTGCGCTACTTGCACACAGTGTTTTTTGTGAAGGATGCGGATGCTTTGGGATGCACACTCTGCAAACCACCACAGCTGAAGGGATCGGGGAACCTCAGGTGCCCCAGAAGACCCAACTTCTGTTTTGCTGGGCATGGGTGGGCACAGAAGCTTCTGTTTTGTAAAAAGTTACCTGGTCTTTTATATAGTCTGCACAAGTACTGATCTTAGACGCAACGTGAGCTTGAAGCAAACACAGAGACAGGGTTTTACACGTCAGAGGTATAAAAGCAAGGTGTAAGTGGGGGACCGGCATGCCTCAGCTCGGTTCAATCTGGCTTTTGTTTAGATTAAAGTATATATTAGCAGATTTCAAAATCACTTTTACAGCAGAAAATATACAGTACAGCAAACTCTACTTCCATCTGTATCTCTTGGAGAAAGTGCAGTAATTAGGGCTAGGTTAGTGATGGGAAGCCTGGGCATGCAGATACACCAGCCTTCCCCAGAGGTGAGCGGCCCATCAGTGCACACAGAGAATAAAAACTCCTTAAAGCATGGAACACCAATTTGTGATGTTTGCTTCCTCAGAGAATTTACAGTCGAGATCTTTTTTTAAATTATAAACAATACTGCCAGTGTCTTAATTAGCTGTGCTAAAATGTATTAAAATCCCAACTAATGTGAAATGAAAGAAAACAGACAACTCCCAAGATCTTCAATTGGATTTAGTGTTCTGGGTATTTAATTAAGGATGTGTTCCTTCATAACCTCCATTTCAGAAGTTATCCCAGTGCCATCCTGCTGATCAAAACTGGGCTACAGCTATGTTCGATTTTCAAAGTCAGCCTCCCTACCTGTGATTCTGTCAAACCCAATTTACTTGTTGGGAAACGAGTAATGGAAAAACCTGCTTTTGTTTTCCTCTACATTTTTTCCTGACTTAATTTTTTATATCTTTACTACAAATGAAAGCAATGAAAACTGTCTTGTAGATCAAGGTTACTTCGAAAAACATCTGAGAAGTACTATTTTAAAGACATCAGCCTTAAGTCATTAGTAAAGACAACTTGTGCTCCCTAACGAACTGCAGTACAGTTTCCCCACAGAAGGTACCTGTTTCTCCCCACAGGGCACTACCCAGCTAACTCACACCAGAAAAGACATACACAAACTACAGAGAGACATTTGCAAAGAGACTTTTAGTTGTATCAAAATCAGTTCATCTTACAGCATGTAAAGCAGGAGTGGCCCGTGATTAAAGCACCAGACTGGGAGTCACAAGATCCAGCTTGGCCTCAGGTTACGTGACCTTCAGCAAATTCTTTAGTCTGAAAGAGAGATAAAGCCAAGGACACTGGTGGGAGATGCTCTGTGAGGAGCTCTTTGGTTCTGAGCTCAAAGCCACTAACAGGGTGCAAACTATTTCACAAGCTGCTTGGTTACATGAATTTATCAAAGTGCCTAATTTAAGGAGAGGGTAAATACGGGAGGAAGAATGCGCATTCTGAGATGGTCGAACAATATACACATAAGACAACAAATACAGAAATTATGAAGACTTCCATGCTGCCCCTTGATAAGTGGTGTAGTAAACAGGGAAAAGCCTAACTTCCGTGGGAGAAGCAGCCCATTCAAAACAGTGTTTCTGCCCCCCCAATATTCAATGGGAAGGCTGTCAAGTAGCTAAAAGGGAGGTGAATGAGTGTCAGCAACCACTGCTGCTAATGCCATAGAGAGTGGGCAGCAGCCAGCGCTGCACCGAGCAGCAAGCGCAGAGCCTGCCCAGCTGCCGAGCCTGCCACAGAGCCGGTGCCGTCCTTGTGGCCTCTCCTCCAGAAAGCTGCCGAGTACTTTGTATTTGTTCTGCTCCAGAAGAAAATGAAATCACTGGGGTTTGGAACTTGTCACACTGCTTTATATTTTGCATGAAAGAAAGGAAATGTGTGTACTGGAAACTCACCTACATAGGCAGTCTCGCTACCTGTCCGGCTTGCTTTGATTTTATCGGTGTAATGAACCTGAAACACAATAAAACAAAAATTGTAAGTAGTTCATAGTGCGAGAAAGCCAAAGCTAAGAGGGTTAGCACTTGTGGTTTAATTCCACTCACAAAGACCACAGTGTTTTGAGATTGGCCTCTCTGAAAAATCTACCTCAAACCTTTCTTACAGCCAGCTTCCCTATTTCCCTTCCTGAGGATATGGCCATGGGTGGCCAATTCCCTCTGGCCACCTCCCAAGTGTGAATGAAGTCAACAAGTTTTCACAGCCTTTTTCCCTCCTCACTGACACCATGGCTCCTCCTGAAGCCCATGGTCCCCAAGCAGAGCTCCCAGCCAGACCTATGGCAGACAAGATATTTAGAGGCAGCTGTTAGAAAAGCTACTGGCTTTGAAATGAGTTAAACTGCTCTGGGTAAAACCCTGAGCAGGTTTACATTAAGTGCCAGCGCAGCTGATATTGGGCACATGTATAACTTTGCCTCCTGTAGACTTATCTGAGATGTAAGCCTCCTTTCGTATATTCTAGCAGCTGTGCTTAAACCACAAGAGAAACAAATCTGAGACCCCGTGTTTCCTACAGAGGCCTTTACGCACCCAGAAAAAAATCCTGGAATTTGATCAATCCTAAAAAGTACAAGTTCCTGCGCCAGATACTGGTCCCTGTTGCAAGACTGGCAACGCCAGAGCACGCTGTATTTAACAACCTTCTTAAATTTTCACTGTATAAAATGCTAATTTTAAACTAAAACTATACAACACTGACAATTCAATGAGGGCAGTAATTTTCCAAGAGTTTTGGTCATGAATGACAGCGGAATTGGGCACCTGATATGTACAGCTCAGCACCACTAAGAACAGAAACCAGCGACTGAAGAACATAAGGGTTGATCTGTTTGAAAACATCTATCTATAATACAGATGCAAAACAAGTTGTCTGCCCTGATGCTATGGGTAAAAGAGAAGGTGATTAAAAAATATTAGGTGACATGCTTTCTGAGATAGCTAGAGGGGGGACTTTATTTACAAATAAAGTTGTCTGTCTTTTTATTCACATTGCTTTGCTGCTGCAGGAAGCCTGAGGGCCTGCACATTCAGTGCCATACACACACAGGTGTGCAAATACACACATCAAGTTCTAAAACCAGCAATTAATAATCTAACATTGACTGGTACTTGCTATGTTAACCTTTCCTGTAATTTATAATGCATGTTTATATACCTTTGTATCCCTGTACACCAGAGACACCCACTGTCAAATACGGTGCAGAACAGGGATTATATGCACGGGGCATTTACTGAATTGGCAAAGCAGCTGGGGCACAGATAACTCATTAACCAGGGCACGGCAGGATCCAGAATTGCCACTGACACTCTTTGGAGGAAAAAAACCGGTCATTTGCCAAATGGCCGGCGGAGATCTGGCACAGAGCCCTGGCGCCGCTCAGTAACCGGCCGAATCATGCAATTAGCTACAAGATTTACAAGCCCTGGTATGCATGAAACGTAGAGCCAATTCCTGGCATACTAAACCCAGAGCAATGCCCAGGGGCAAAGCGATGGCAATGACCACCAGTGGGGAGAAGGCAAGAGTGGGTGGCTGCTGCCTTTTGGCTGGCACGCAGCAGCACGGAGCGACCACGAAAGGCTTTGGCAGAGGGGCTGGGCTGCAGCCCCAGCCTTCCCCAGGCACCAACAATGGGGTCAGAGGAGTCAGAGCAATTCAGTTCCCCCATTCCCAGGAAATTAGGGGAAAAAAAAAGCACTGAAAGTTCCTGAGGGATGGTCTTTAACAAGGCAGAGAGGTGCCGACTGCCTTGGGCTGGCAGCACAGGCAGCGACCCCTTTATAAATCACACGCCACTTCCCATGTCAGAAATGGCATGAAAATTTTAACAGCTGCTGTTAAAAATCATTGTATGGAGTAGGAAAATAAATTGCTTTCAAAAAGAGACTGCTTCGCTGCAGCCAGTCCTTGTTGTCCCAGTGCCAAGCTTGTGCTTTTCACATACAGCAGGGAAACAAAAATAAATGCAACACGTAACCCTCCGTTACATGTGTGTGACAGCTGTGCTGCGCAAAACACAACTTTTAATGGAAAAGCTTCTGCTTTGCTTATCTGTGCAAGTTCTCACTCTGGTCAGGCACCCTGAAAATTGTTAAGGAAAAATAAGAAAAAATTTTAATCTGTTCACTTCTGCTTCCTCATGGAGATCAAAACACATAGTCAAAACAACTTTAAATGCATCTAAAAAAAAAGTATGGCTCATAGGTGCCGCTTTCCACCCTAGAGCTATGAAGACTTGATATTCCTGCCTAATCAAAGCTCTTATCGAATCAGTCATAAAACCTCACAAACCCAACATTACTAGCATAGTTTGAGGCCGGCGTAATGTACCCCCTCTGAAACCCTCTGTAAGATGTACTGCATAGCTGGAGTGTAAGCGTTTGGAGGTCAGGCCATCCTCGGGAAGGAATAAATCAGGGAAGGGCACGTGGGAGAGAGATGAGGAAATACTGCTGCCAAAAAGGTCCCAGACCCTCCAGCCAAGGGCAGCAGCCCAAGCCCAGGTCCTCCTTCACCATGGGCCCTGGCAGCCGGCTCCAGCTGGAGCATCCCTGCTTTGCAGGATGAATCCCTTGCAAGTTTTACAGTAACATAAACCAGATTCGGCTGGGAAGAATATGGTCTGTCTCCCAAAACTGTCAGCGACACTTTCTGCTTATCCCGGCTCCAAGCTTAGACCAAAAAGCGTTGGCTTGAATCTAAAAAGACAGCTGAAAATGTATTTTGGGATCTGCTCAGAGTTATTCACGGCAACGGCCAACAAAACAAGAGTATTTTACTTCTAACAGCACCAACTTTTACATTTTTAGGGCAGCGATCCTGGTGGTTTAACACACTCCAGACAGCTGCAAAAACAAGCAACGGGAGAACGCAACACCTTTCGTACCACGCCTTACAAGAGTAAGATGATGCAGGAAAACAAGAGTTTGGCTGAAGGATTATGGCTTCTCATTAGCAAAAGTAACGAGCTCTTTCCACCTAATCTCTCATTTCTGAGACTTTTTGTTATACTTGCTTAACTTCTTCCTTCGCAGTGCAGACGGACCCTTTTCCTGGCAAAAGAAGTCAGAGATGCTTTTGGAATTATTTTGATTCAGAAACAAAAGCCTCCTGGGCTTCTACAGCACTGCTACAGCACTGCAAATTCACACTGCATGCTGGTTTACGTTCTCCGCGAGTATTTCCGACAACAGCGTAGCTTTCCAGAGAGGATAACTTCTTGCCAGCTGTGCTGGTGGTGATTAATAAGGACAACTGAAAAGCAGGATCAACAAGGGAGAAGAAGATCATCTGTGGAAGATTTTGAAAACACACGGAAAGCTGCAGCATACTACGGCGGCACAGGATCCTTCACCAGAACTTTGTTTTTCTAATGCAAACTATAATGACCTGCCCCGGGGCAGAATTTCTTGCACTTCACTGTGATATGGCAGCACACAAAAAAATAGCGTAAATGTCTTTGGTATCTGCTTGGGTTTGTTTTTAAAAACAGAAAGGGAACTTTCTTCTGGAAATACTCTGGCTATTCATCAAGATGATTAATGACACAGCAAAGAACCTTTCTTTCTTTTATTAACTGAAAAGGTACACACAGATACATCAAGTATCTCAGAACTGCACCAGTTGCTGAGCAAATTTAAGCCCAAAGACCTAACAACAGAGGACAGATATCTAAACATATCCACTTAGGGACAGCCAGCTCAGGAAAGGCCTTTCTGGAGACAGACTTCCTACATTACAATCGATTTTAAATTCAAACTTAATTTTATAAACAATTAGAATGCCTCTTTCTGCCAAATAAGCCCTCGCCTCCGCAGGGCCACCTTTATACCCTTCCATCACCACCGAGTCCCTGCTTACAGAGCTTCCCAACCCTTCCCGTGGCCATGGTGCTCCTGCTCTGCAAGCCAGACCCACAGCATCAGCTTTCATAGCCACAATCTGTAGTTTTCCCTGGTTCTCAGCCTGTATTTTCCCTTTCTAATGATATCCACTGGTCCCTCATGAGAACATCCTGCACCTTACCTTATGCTTCCCTGGTAGAGAAGCCCAGCACAGCCAAAGGAGGCTGCACAGGCAGCAAGGGCAGCGCTGGGTCCCACCACATCACCTTGTCATGACGGAAAATGGGAGGTAGGTTTTTTTTTGCTTTCCACAGCTTAAAACACCGAAAACCACTTTCTCTTCCCCATAGTTAATCCTACATCCCCCCTAGGAATAACACAGCTACCCATTCCCATGCGCGTTTAGTGTCGGCTTTTGAATTCCCCAATTCTTGCCCCAGCAAGGGAAAAAAGTTACTCTGAGTATCAGCACCTAGCTGGGGGAGCTTTTGCACAAAGGTAATTATCATTGCACAAAGATAACTATCGTTTAGACAGCAAGATCAGGCAAAATCTCCCCTCTGTGCTCCAACAGCCTCTGCACAGGAGAGGTTACGAATAGTGAAAGGATGATTCAACGGAGCACTGCCGGTGTCGGCCTGCACAGCTGCCAGAGCAGCCTGGACTGGGGAACTGGTCTGTCCCCTTTCCCACCAGGGCAAAGATCGGCTTTGCCACCTCCAAAGGCTCGGGAGAGCCGACATCGGAGGATGGCTACCCACACGGCGAGTGAGGGCTCTGAGCAGATGTCGTGAGTCGGAGTGGAGGCACAGCAGAGGGAAGCAGTAAGGCTTGGGTCAAACGTATGTCCAAAACCAAAATGTGCCAAATATGTCCCTGTACAGCAGGTTTGTAAAGACACAGAAGAAGGGATGGGAAAAATGGTGTAAACAAATGGAAAAGCAAGCCTGGTTCCTGCCTCAAGTTGAGCTGACTGTTTCAAAAAGGAGACGACCTCAAACTGATGCACAAGTCCTGAGCAAGCCCACAGGGCCCAACATGGGGTACCACCACACCTTGTGTGGGGGTGTGGGACCCGCGGCATCCCAGAGGCCACATCCCGCAGTCA